CTCTCTCTCTTCCTATTACTGTAAAAATAATTAGTATCATAACAATGAAGGCTGTAATTAATGAATATAATCAATTAATTGTCAATTGTTTGAGCAAAAAGCTGAATTTTAACACGTCAACCCATACCTTTTCTATAGGGAAGAGAAAGAGAGAGAGAATGAGTGAGATGATCTTTCTATGGTTAATTTTTGATGCTAAAGAATTTGAGTAGAAGAATTGATGAGCAATTGGACATAGATCATTAGCAAATGGACATAGACCATTAGCAGATGAGCAAATAGACCAGTGGATAAAAAGAGGCCCGACTGGCTACACCCCTCTTTCCTCTTGCTTTATGCCTAACAATAGTACAAATGAGTGGTTGCGGGACAAAACAAAACACGTTCTATACACATATATATATATATACATTGTTTTGAATGCACGACTCGTGCAAGTCATGCAAGCACGTTTTACACATCTGCATGCAGATTGCATCCTTAAGCAATTCTTTATAGACATTTTATTTTAGGAAATGAATTTTTCGACAATACTGAAATGGAAAAAGGATAGCTGAAAAGGGTTGCTGGCTTTTTGCCAAAACCAACAATTAAAAGCAACAAAACTTGTCGAAATATTATCTCAATTCAACATTTCAAAACGTGAACATATTTGTGATGTACGTGATGCATGCATGAATGCATGCCACTTGCTCATTCTAATAACATTTAGCCTAATAGAACCAATTGGTTGTATACTTATTGGTACATTTAAGCCAAGTTTGTTTATAATTAATAAGTATCTCTTAATCAATTTACAATCAAAAGAAATGAATATCTCCAATAAATATTTGATAATAACAGATAAAAAAATGCTATTGATTTATGCAAATATCAAATTTATCAGCTTTTTTTTAGCTTTATGACAAAGTCTGGTATGAGTTTAACAACTAAAATTAAATATCATACTCTTTTCAATTAATTAGTTTTGAAAACTTCCGATTTGTCATAATACGTTTAAATTGGATGTATCGTTCCTTAGCTGTCAAAATATTTCTGTAATGCAAGTTGAAAAAAAATAATATAGCAAGGATAAGTATATTTTATATCAGAAACAACAAACTGCGAATAATTTTCCTCTATTCATTTTGGAATTCATTTTTTTTAAATCGTGTTTTCCAAGCAATTTTCAAATTCGTTGAATACTATCGGATATGGTAGTTTGGAAGAAATTATGAACGAATTACAGTTTTATTTTGGTAAAACTAGATTTGATTGCTATACAGATGAAAAGCTTAAGACATCTTTATTCAAGCGATTAATTATACAACTGTGTCGAATTATTTGAGAAATGAAAATTTGAAGTTATCGTATCAGCAAATTACAGTAAGCCAACAATTAATTCATTGTAAGATGATGTCTTCGAGAATTTTTTCTTTGGGTAAGGCAGAAAATGCTTAATTGTGAACTTCTGCAACTACCACAGTTAATTATTTCGAATTTTTTTGAATGGAAAAGTGATTAGATTTGCTATCAGCAATGAAAACTGCATGAGGCAGTTGTCTGATAATTTTTTATATTCCAATGAATAACTTATAAATAATGATAAGAAAAGTAACTGAAAAATGTTAGTTTTCTAATAGAAATAGAAGTTTCCACCTTTACGATTATCGTAAAAATTGTCGTGGCTACCATGTAGAAGTACTAACTATTTAAGTCATCAGTATGCTCATTTTCAGGTGAAGATATTATAAAGCTTAAAAGTTTACGCTATAAGTTGTTAGCACTGAATTTTTAAAATCTTTCCCTTAGTCATGCGTCAATAATTGAAATGATTTACGCGTACAAAAGCTGGCTTGTTTGAAAATGTACCTATTATGCATTTAATTTATCCAGTTTTCATTTAACAATTTAATTTGAATTTATGCGAACTCGCATTTTAAACGAGAATATTAAAATTCATAACAGATTTAGCGATAACATATCACTGCAAATAAATAAATGAAATCGGGATAATTTTCACAACTGAATCGAATTCTAAATTATATTAAAACCATTTTCTATCGGTTTGTAAGAAATAGAAAAACAATGGCAGAGAAAAATGTGAAAGTGAAATTGCATGAAGAAAATTGAACTGTATGAAGAAAAGGATATAGAAGTTATCATTTCAACATTTTCATTTGTTTAATTTTGTTTATTATTCTCATTTCAACTTCGCACACTAACTTATGCAAACAAATTCAATTTACAATTTCGCTTTTACATTTCATTTTCTTGAATGAAAAATAACGTTTCCTGCCATTCCGCGGTCCATTTTGTAAAGACCTTAGAAGTCAGTCCTAATAAAATCTTACAATATTTATTGTTTTTTTAAAAGATATTACCAGCCAAAAGAATGCAACATACAAGTATTTTTTTGTCATTCTGCGAAATGTCCCAAATTTCCGATATAATTTGAATAAAGTGCCTATGATAATTCATTTTATGCCTTTCTTCTAAATTCATTCATATTTGTCTGAGAAACCAATGAAATTTGTTGTACCGTTTATAATATAATATTTTTGTGCATTTCATCAATTTCGCATAATAACAAATGACAATGCTTTCGCATGACTTTTTAGAATGTAAGAGATATTTGTTGAATTATCAGTGATCAAATCATTCCGTTAAATCTTTATCATTTCGATACAATGATTTAGAATTAGTTTGAAAAATTTCTTTTTCTTTTTTTGAAGTGTATAATTGATTTTTTCCTTATCTGCAAAGTAAACATTTTTATTTATGAATAGTAATATTATAATATACAATTGGAAGTCATTAGTTTCGAAATTTCTTCCATCAATATCATCAAATACAGTAAGATTAAACATTTTATCTAATTTTAAAAAGAAATTAAATAGCAAATTTCTTTTCATTGATTAATATCATTATTCAATCAGTAATAAAGTGAAAAGTTGGAAATACGAAATCATTTGAAATTTCGTAAAATTTGTTTTTAAATTAACGAAAGAAATAGCTCGTTAAGCCACTCTTCGTAGTTGATGATGATATGTTACTTTATGAATAGGTGAAAGTTCATTGCAGATAAACATCTGTACGAGAAAGATATTTCCATTATGCTATTTTATTATTTCCACCTTAATTTATTTCAATATTCAATTTATTTAGGCGATCTTAAATTAGCATTTGAAGAACAACAACTTTTATAATTATAATTACTAATGAATCAATTGACCAATCTATCCATAATAAATTGCCAATATGAAATATATTTTAGTGTTATGCAAAAAAACTTTTTTTCAAATAACTTTTTAATAAAAGATATTAAATATTTATTGTCGAATATTTTATCAAAAACTAATAATTTAAAATTAATCTCTTAGAACGAACTTTTTATAATTAAATCCTAAATGTCATTAATTTAAATTAAATACTGTCACTATTTAGAAGGTCATATTGACAGATAGCGTTTGGTAAGGAACGATTATCGATAGAACTGTTCGAATGATTGTTAGTTCAATGCTTTACGCTGCATTTACGCTATTATTTAAATATTCGATGCCGTCACATTCTTTTTCCAACTCCTTTCTATCGTTAGCTTTTAATTGGGAAATGTTGCTAACTTATGCGTTTCCTTTATTCTCTCTCTCTCTCTCTCTCTCCTCATTTCAATTACTCAATGAATGTCACATAAAGGCGCTACTAATTATTGTCATACAAATTGCCGGCTATAATTGTACAGTGAGATGAGTGAGCACATGTGACGACGACATTTAACGCTAATGGTAGTAATTGAGTGCTACCGTATTCAGGCCGATAAATAAATGAATGAATGACTGACTGCAAGGGTATTATGAATAGAATATGGGTCAATGAGTGTGTGTGTGTGTGTATGTGTGCGTGTGTTTATGTATGTAAGGAGAATTATTTGTAATAGATGTTCTTGACAGAAAAGTACCCAGATCTCGGGTAGATTGAGAGGGAAAGGGAGAGAGAGAGATGGAAAAGAGAAGGAAATCATCCTAGCAACGACAACATATAGGCCTATGTAAACTCTCATCCTAAATTTATTTAAATATATATCATTTGTGAGCTCAATAAGAGAGTATAAGAATAGGTGGGAGTTGTGAAAGAAGGAGAGCGATCACGCGTTGAAAACGAACAATGGATGGTAAGGCATTATGAGAAGTGCCGTTCGCTTACTTAGTCGACGCCTCTCTCCATCTCTCTCTTTCTTTCCCTCTCTTTTCCCTTTCTTCCTTTTCTACAAAGGAAAATCTTTCTGACATACATACATACATTGACAGATACGCACAGACATGTAATGATGCGTGCGTGGAGAATGGCAGGCTTATGCATACAGTGTCGGTGGGTTTCATTTGGCAGGCAGTGGAAAGGAATGTGTCGTTTGATTGCTTGCTTGCTCCACTCGCATTGCCCGAAATTGCAATTTGTCCTTTTTGTTTTGCCCGCACCGATATCCAATCCATTCTATGGGCTCATTTCAACCGTTCCTCCTTCCCATCTTTCATTACTTACTCTTGCTTTTGGAAGTTTCGGGAATTCGTATTTTTTCATTGTTGACTGTACACATTAAAATTATCATCAAATGTGTGCTCTTTACATATTTCTTTAGCCTTCTTCTATATTACATTACTGTAAATCATGTCATATATGGCTCACTAATGTATATGTCCGTGTTTAGATCTATACGTGAACGTTACATGCATACGTATACTAATTGGGCAGGCACGTTCTGGACAATAAAAGGATGGAGTATGCTTTCTCTATAAGGCCTTATGAGTGCCATACACACATATACACATCAAAAATGCAGACCGACATGCATTTCTAACCGAAACGGACGGACGTTGTGTCCACTTGCTCTCATACAGATAGATACATATACTTAAGCATACACAGAAATATACACATACATGCATACATACATACATACACACATACATAGAGAGACATACATGAAGAGATAGATAAGCATCAATCGATAGATAAAGGAGGACTCAATGGTTGGAGCTACAGTGTTTCGTTGTCTGCAGACTGAAGAAAGGTGTATTATGATTGGCTACGAGAGTTGCAGGGGAGCGGGAGGTATGGCCGTATTCTCCGCCCAGACGTGCAATGTGATGGTATAGCGTTGTTGTTGTTGTTGTTGTTGTTGTTGTTACTGCTACTGCTGCTGCTGCTGCTGTTGCTGTTGCTGCTGTTGTTGTTGCTGTTGCTGCTGCTGCTACTGCTGTTGCTGCTGTTGCCGTTATGGTGTATGACACTTTGATATGGGAGAAGTTCATTGGATAGGGTAAATGAGCGGGTAAGTGAGTGGATAAGTTGGCGTAGAGGGTGTCAGTTGCGAAAGAGTTCAAATTTTGTTGAATCAAATTTCTGTTCCATCGATAAATTAGAATATTATTTCATATAACTTATACATTAAAGTAGGCCAAGTAAGAATTTAGCTTTTGAAGGCTATTCTTTGTGACACGAAATTTCCTGAAAGGTGACATTTAGAATAGGCATGAAGAGGACATCCACTATCAGAAACTGATGAGCCAATGATTATTGAGCGTTCGGTGTTCCTTGTCTTACACTCCTGAAGAAATCAAATCATTTGACTATGTTCACTATCTTCTTTATTAAAGTTATTTCCCGGTAAGAGGCATACGGTGGACATTCTTATTGAATGAATGAATTTATAGGTTTCTTTTCTGCATTTTGCAAACGAGTAAAATTCCGTTTCTTTTGTCATTAACTGCCAAACAAATAGCATTCATTAATGGTTGGGGAAGAAAATCAGGATAGGATAGGATGCGATAAGATAGGAATAAATGGAAGTAGTAATAGTAATAGTAGTAGTACCTACCGGAATATAATAAATGATTGGGAGGTTTTTGAAATGCAGGCAGTGACATTCTATCCATCTCGGGATAGATGAATGGTTGGATGGATGGATGGACGGGATAGATAGACACTGTGCCTATGTCTATGCCTATCCGTCTTCTTACCTTTTTCTACGTTAAAAAACTATCCCTCATCACACACACGCGCACACACACACACACACACATATATATATATACACATACACACACTACTTGGCCCTTTTTTATCATACTCTTCATTTGCCACCTTTCATGCGTACATTTCTATCCGTCCTCTTTCTGCTCTTAAACAGATTTTCACAAATTTTTAATTTTCAAAAAGGCCCTCTCATCCTGTACTCTCAATCTCTTATCATAAATTTGCCCCTCCTCTCATTGGGCTCTGTGTGTTTTACAATGTTTTCCATAAGAATGAAGAATGCATGGGTGTCTGTACAAATAGGTAACGTAATACACCGATCTGTTATATGGCTCTTTCCCGCCCCACTTACCATAAGTCTTTCTTTTCCTCAAACGTTACCCACCCACCCCTATTCATCTGCACCACGTGCTTGCTTTCCGTTGCTACAGCTGCAGGACGCGATGGCCATTCCTCTTCATTCCCCTCTTGCAGTAGTTGTATTAGTAGTGGTAGTGGTAGTGGTAGTGGTAGTAGTAGTAGTAGTAGCAGTAGCACTGTTAAAGTGAAATCAGGCGCAATCCCTTCTCACTCTTCTCCGCTTCTTCTCCGTCGTCCTATCTTCCTCCATTCTGCGTGTATGTATTTGTATGTGCGGTAGTTTCTCTTCCAAAAGCAACACGAATAAATCTTTGGTCTCCTTTCCTTTCCTCTCTTCATGTGGCGGCGATGGCGTGTTCGTTTGTCATCCCTATTACGCCGCCCGTTTCGCAGTACGATTGTTTATATGGGTTGTTGTTGTTATTATTGTTAATTGTTGTTGTTGCTCCCAAAATAGTGTCTAATTTGTCGCCGTTGAACAACTTAAACAATAATGGACAGATTTGACGAGATGAGTCCGTTTGGGGTGCGTGAGGGCAAGGAAGAGAGGCGCATATTGCACTGAATGACAACACACTTCTTCGTTCCCTCTGGATCGGGTTGCGAGCTCATACTCACTGATTATGTGTCTCTTTTCTAGTGTTCCTATAGCACTTTCATCAACACTTCAGTTCTATCAGTCTCGGCGCTAAATTACAACCTGACACTTTTGTCCACCCCACTTTCAGGACATCATATTTAATTTCACCTCATAACTCACTTGCATGTTTGGCAATGTCGATATGCAAAATGTGCAGTGCAGTGCATTAATACCAAATCCTTGCATTTCCCACTATCTCAGTATGAAATAAATGATCAAATCCTCTCTTATTGTTTGAATGTGAGTGAAACGGAAGAATTAACATCATGGAAATAGCATAAAAGGAAGGGATTCACCGAAAATTCTTCCTGCGTAACGATCATATCACATTATGAAATAGCCATAATGAAATTGATAAATTCAAGTGATTAAATGATTTAAGTTCAACTTATCAACTTCTAAAATTAGAGATTAATAAGTTGAACTTATCAATAAGTTTAATAGGTTGAAAAGTTCAATGAAAATTATAAGTAGTAATATCAAGTTTCAGAATTTCCTTAATCATAACGAACAATCAAGATCCATTATTGCATATATCTTCAAGAGTCAAATGTTATCGAATGAATGCATTCAAAAATTCATTTTCTTAAGTTCCATTAAACAATTTTCGATTTCTAATACTTTTTTATTCTCAAATATGCAATTTCATCATTGTTGGAGATTCGAAACGGCTGAATAATAACAGAGGCATGGTTATATATCGAACAGAAAGTGTGCTATTTAGTAGCTAAAATAAAATTTCAACTTAATGACTGTAATTAGTAACTTACGGATTGAAGAGAGCTATCAGAGGAGCATGCAAACAGCTTAGTTAAAATACATATGCACCATCATCATTCGAATTCAATTTTTTAATTTTGAACTCAATTTTTAACCTATCATTTTATACATTTTCTGAAGTAAGTCTTCAGTACCGGTCAAAATGTCATTATCATTTCGAATTTCCTTTTCCTATTTAAGGCTTATCTATCATTTACAATCTAATCCATTTCTATGATTGTACAAATCCAACTTATCGATTAATATAATTCATATATAGTTTGTGCCTTAAAAACTAATATATAATTTCTTTTCTTTAGATTTCAGTATTGGAAATTTATAACACGTGTTAATTATACACATTCCCTTAGATACATATGCCCATTTTCTGCATCTGTTCCTCTGTTCCAAGCAAAGATGAGGAAGAAATTTTAAATTCTGAATGATCTACACCAGTTAAATGTTGATTTTTTTGATTTTACAAATTATATGAATTTTAACAATTTAGCTTAATAATTTCATCATTTCCCATCATTTCTTCTGTTGCAAAAAACATTCGTAATGAATTTTAACTCGAAATCATCGTTGTTAATTTATAATTGTTACGATCGATCTGTATCGTCAACTTCATTTTTTATATTTATAATATCGAAATTCAGGTTTATACTTCGTATAGCATTTCTTTTCTTAACGTAAGATTATTTTTTTCCTTCTTTTAACTGATTATACATTTATGCATTTGTTTATTTTGTGTTAAATACGGGAACTTTTCATGTTCAAAAAATAATCAATCAATTCTAATACAGCCTACAGTCCCTAAGGATGTAAATAAGTTAAATTAAAATAATTCTTGATTGAAATTAGTCATTGCTTGAAATATTTTTGTTTGCTTCAAATGTTACACATAGATCTATCTGAATCATTAGTTAATCAAACTTCATTTGATGGATGAAAAATTGATTTACCTCTCACATCTTTTACTTAAAGTGTATTTAAATAATGAATAAAAGAAATGATGAAAGAGATACTTAAATAAAAGAAAATATGTTCTAATTATTAAGACAGATTTTCTACTCAGTAAAAGAAATAAAATCTGAACAAACAGGCTTCATTCAATATGAAGGAATATTGTATTTGGCTCTTATCAAATTTTTTCTTGATTAACCATTTCAAGTTTCCTTCTTAATCACACCTATTATTTTCTATTTCAAATATTTGTGATAGTCTTCTTAAATCCTATGGGGGTGATTATCGATTGACGAGTGAATGTTTCAAATTGTAGATTGCCAAGTTGCGCTTGGCTCTCAGTATGGTGCTTTGATATGAAGATTCGATTGTGTACACTGACCATCATCATTATGTTAAATTCATTTATCGTTGGTTAACTAGCATAAATTCAAGTTTGGTAGTCATTAGTTGATAGCGAGCTGAGGAATTGTTTTCATATGGTCATCGGTCAGTGATTGTTGGCTAGTGATGGATTAGTTAGTTAAGAATATATAGCTTAGATCTCATATTCTGTTATGATCATAGTGTCATATTGTAAAAGATTTATTTGGTAAAGTGAAGAAGTAAAGCACTTGATATCTATCAATTTTTGTACTCTCTTTGTCGGTGAATTTTTCAATTTTCCTGAGCATTGTTGGTACTGGAGAGATTTCATTTAAAAAGATAGGGTCGATAGCAATCAAAAGATTACATCATTTTCTACAACCGAGGTATATCTATATGGATGATTGCTGAAAAAATTTAACTGATTTCAATTCATTATTGAAGTTTGGGGTAAGAAAGGGAAGACCGAAGAGCAAGTAATAGATATTCATTGCATGATTTGTTGTTTTCTGCGCAAAATTTCCATTGTGTTTCTTCCATTGCGGCTAATGTCATTTCTTGTGGACAATGGGCACTTGCGCATTTCGCAGCTAATAAAGGCAAAGGACCTAATTATCACACTTATGGCAATAAACTTTTTTCTCTTTCTGTTTGTACTCTTCGGATCGAGCCAAAATATATATTAATTGTACACGTACACCTCTCTATTATTTTCCTAGGCTTAGAATTTATAAGTTTAGATGTTGGGATTGCTTCGAGCTTACTCTTATGTTCATTTTCTCATATGTTAAAAAGAGATCATTTGAAGAAGAGAAGTAAAATATTTGACACTGGCTCTCAAATAATGGTGGCCAATCACATAGTATCTGGGAAAGATGATTAGATTTTATGGCACTATCGGACTGCAATTGAGAAAATACATAATAGAAGATGAAGTTTCGACAATGTCGGATATGAAGTCTAATCTCATAGAAGGTGTAATGTTGGTCATGCTATTTGTGATAAATCAGTATTCCGCAGTGATATAAAAATTTCATCAAATGGATATTATTAATTGTATTTTGGAAAAAAATTATTTAATAATTTCACGAATTTTCAAGGAAAAGGTAGTAATCTATTAATTTTTTTGTTCCATTTTACCATTTTCTTTTTCCGGCAAGTTTGTTCTGTGATCGCAGGTAGTGTTGAACAAGCGATTAGATTTGTTGTGTTACGACATTAGCGCTTTATCAATATCGCTATGCTAACAAGCGGTGCAAAAATATTTTGAATAGTTGATTTGTAAATTAATTTTCAGTTATGAAAGACATTCATGGAACAGATTTGAACGAGAATTTATGTTGCTCGTTGTGCAAGTCGTATTTGATTGATGCAGTAACGCTTACCGAATGTCTTCACTCATGTTAGTTAATTATCTCTTTAACCTCGGTCTTCAAAGTTCATCATTTCCATTCATTTTTATCCTTTTCTTTATTCCCTTACATGACAACCTCTTATTTTAGCAATTGGTTGCTAAGGATTTATTCTGTAGTAATGTTTTACTGTGATTTAATAATGATTTTTTTAATTCTAATAACTCAACTTTCTCTTGCTCACATTAACTTCAAAATTAAAAGCAAAAAATAGAATATAGTTAATGGTCAGGTGTATTTTCTACTACTAAAATGTTGAGTTAGTTTGATCTTTGATATTCATAAAATGTAATTTAAAAATTTAATTTCAGATTGTCGAGCTTGTTTACTGGGTAATATTGAGAAGGCTGAAGTATATCATTGTACAAAGTGTGCGGCATCATTCGGTAAAGATCTTTCCGAAGCATTCGTGCGTGATGATACACTTCAGAAATTAGTTTATAAAATGGTGCCAGAAGTTTATTGGCAAGAGTTACTTCAACGTGATGAATTTCTCAAAAAAAGAATCGTTTCACCTGATGAGAAAGCAACAATTCTTGATAAAGTAATTTTTTGGGTCGTATACTTGAATAAGTGGTATTATGCTTTACTATCATAATTTAACGAAATTTTACGAAATTGAAGTCTTATAAGTAGTCTAACGAATTCATTATGAAATTAGAAGCTTTAGCAATATCCCATAGCCTTTATCATTCCTCAAATTTTAAAGAATTCGTGTGATTCTAAAGTTATACCATATGTGTCAGACTTTTAACAGGCCTTAATCTTGTGCTATGCTTTCATTAACTTCATTAACGATGTAGAAAAAGAAGGAATGGGAAGAAAAAAAGTTGATTAATGGCTTTTGAAAAGGACTGACAAATTTTTTTTTCGCTAAAAACCTCTACATTTTACTTACTTTTTTTCTACTTTCTACAATTTATAATGGGATATATTCGATAAAAAATAATTTTACTAATTTTAGAAGCTCATGCAACTCGCCTCAGAACTGTGTGCTTCGAATGAGATGGTCTCATTATGTTTAGAATACATATCACCGGGTATATCAGATAATGATACAGGGGAAGATAGTAATGATAAAGAAGCAGTAAGTGCATCAAGACTGCTCGATGATAACAAACCGTCAACAGTTGCCGAAGCTGATCGTTTAGAAAAACAGGAAGCAATGTTGACTACATTCAGGAGGTATCCGTATTTTCTCGATTAATTCGCTTCCAAATGAATATTGGGGAGTTTAATTTCAAGTTTCTAAGATTTTCATTGGTGATTTCTTCTTTTTAATCTTTTTCTTTGAGTTTTTGCTTTCCTTTGAATAAAAGAAAGCAACTGTTATTGTCTTTAACAATTATAGCCTTTTATGACTTGTAACACTATTTACGCCTTGCTATTTATCAATTTTCAGAAGTATAATTTTGGTTTTTTTTTAGATATTTTCGTTGTCAAGCATCGACAAGAATTGGTACATTAAGAAAATTACTGGAAGCGAAGTTAGAGGTTTCCGATACTTATCGATTATTTTTTGTCGACAGTGATTGCAATGTGACGTTGGATGATCAGTGCACACTACAGGATGTTGCTTATATGTTTTCATGGCGACGTCTGGGACCAATGAAAATTCTTTTTACCCTACAGGTGAATGTCTGAAAAAGAATATGAATTTACATTTTATAAATTCATTTATATTATTTTTTTCGATTTTTTCGATACTTAAAAATTAAATTTTTAGTCTCACAATCTTATTCTGAATTTTCATTACAATTTCTGCTCATATCAATTTTGTAATTATTATATTTATAGCGACATCTCGAAGAAGAGAAGCCACCGGTGTTAGATATGGAATTTATGCCGGAACTTGTTGCTGAAGAGCCTCTTTCACAAGGAAGTGCTGCGGTCACAGCTGCAATTGAAACTCCTGTACAGTTACCAGCATTAACTGTGTCACTAAATACTTCAATGATGGAAGGTGGACCAAATCACCAACCTATCATTACTACTGAAGTTCATCCACCACCCAGGTGGAATAATTTCTATTCATTCGATTTTTAAATGCAATTCTATAATTGAGATAAGTCTCATAGTCTATAAATTAATGATGAAATATACATCCGCATTCAGAGGACTACGACTTCTGCAAATTACTCTCTGCGGGTAGCAGTGCTCTAATTAGGTCTAATAAAAAAATAGTTAGTTGGAGAACAATGAATTTCGATCCATGAATTTTCTTCGTTATCGTCAGTTTCTCTTACGTATGTAATAAGTCAGTCACATTTTTTTGCTTTACTTCAGATTTTTTTAATAGGAAGAAAAGGAAGTCTACTGCACCAACAAAAAAACAAGTTGCATCTCCAGTACCTGTGCAGCGTATGACTGGTGTTTCACCGCTTGCAAAAGGACCTCCACCGTTAGTACGACTTGAAAATGCAAGTTTGAACAAGAAATCTAGCAGCAATGGACGCGTAAAAACTTCTGAAAAAACTTCATCAAAAACAACACTTCATGAGGATGCACCGGCTACAAAGCAAGCAAAGCTAATGCCAACATCTTTTGATAACAAGTACATTTTTTGTAGTTTAAAATAATATACTACAGTTCTTTGTCATCATTTATACTTTTCTTCGAGTAAAATTACACAGAAATTATTTTTCAGATTGCAGCAAATCATCGATTCTTCTCCAAGTCGTTCAGCAAAGATTTCTAAGGGAAGCAGGAATAAAACATTATCAAAAACAGCATCTAGTATCACCGAACCGTCATCTAAAGTTGTGTCCAATAATAAATCCACAGAATCAAATAATAAAAGTGGAAATACAAACAGCAGTTTGCAAGCAGCGAAACTAATATCCACTGATGGTATCAAGACTGAATCGGGCTCATCTAATGTGAAAAGTGAGAATGTTACAGCGAAGGAGAAAACTTTTAGTAAATTACATACAATTTCGAAAATCACAGAGAACACCACGGTGATTACAACTATTTCTACTCCAGCAAGTACGACGGCAACAATAACAACAATTAGTCATCCGAGACCAATACAGCCACGTCCGATAGAGATGAAAACTAATTACGAGGCTTTAGTAAAAAGTTATGGTTTAAACGGAATGGGAAATAAGGTATATGCGCTTTCGTTCATTCTTTTTTATTTTTTTAAATATTGTTTATGTTGTAATAAAGGTTGTTTAATCTTTGGTCATTTTTTCTTTTCTAACTGAGAAATTCAAAATTTTTGATTCGAGCATTTATCGTTAAATATTTCCATTTGTTAATATCGGGAAATGAATAAATAATAAAGCAAAATGGATTTTTTTTAACGAAAAATGAGGAATGAATTGGTATTTGTTGATTAAATTTTATAATTTATTTTCAGCTTTCCTCTTTTCCTTTAGACGGAAAGCATGTTGGATTCACTCCGCCAATGCATATCCAACCACCACTATTTATGGATCCAAAAATTGCTGCACAACCAATTAAGCATATTCTTTCTGGACGCGGTATGCCGCCCATTATACCTGAAACCACTCCTTATCTAAGGTTCTTCCTTTTTTATGATAAAAAAATGATGAATATAGTTACATTCTTTGCAGGATTTAAATTGTTGAAATCTGAGCTGTAGTATGTTTTATTAGCTTTTCTCTAAAGGACGCGATGCTATTATTTTAAGCGCAATATAAATACGATTGCACATGAGATAATGAATGATATATTCACATCTTAATCTCATTTTTCCTGGTCTTATACAATATATTTTAGGATAAACTATTAGTGACACTAATATTGTTGGATCCGTTTTGATAACTTCTTATAATAGATGCTTTTTTTGCCAGAATAAAACATAAGGAGACTCCATTAGGATAAAAATCTCTTTGTTTTTTTCAATTAATCAACTAGTAAATTATTTATTTATTTATTCATAATATGTAGGTAGGATGAAAAAATAAAAATTCATTCTCGTAAGAGATGGTGAGAAAAAATGTTTGTAATGAAAAATTATTTTACAGGAATCCAGCGCTAGCAAATTTCATGCATCACCTACATATGCAACCACCACCAATTCCTGGACTTCCTGGTAGCAGCACTCCACCACTTCTTTCTCATAGCAATAGTTCAACATCGCCATGCTGTTCATCTAATCAACTTACTTCATCAACCCATAATCTTCCAATCAGTAATATCTCATCAAAAAATTCTCAGCAACAACTTAAACACCCCGCAGCACTGCCACTTCCTCCAGCAGCTACTAGTTCAAGCGGTAATAGTAGTAGTAGTAGCAGTAGTAGCAGTAGTAGCAGCAGTAGCAATAAATTGTTAAACGGCAGTGGTAATAGCAGTAGAGCATCCTCACCAGCTGCTGCTAAATTGCAACAAAAAATTGTTTCTCCAATTCCAATTCCAACTGCTCACATAACACCCTTTATGAGTCATAGTTAATTCTTCCTTTCGATACATGTTGAGATGAAATTTGATAAGTGGTCATTTTCGAGAAGTGTATATAAGTTAGGAACGATCAGCTTGTGTGGAGTAATATCGCTGTTCATGTATGTCTCAGTTCGATGTTGTTAACCTCGTTAATCATTTTCTTTTTTTCTTTTTAAATCCTTCCAATCCTGCACAAAACGTCATTCATTTCAGTGACAAATTAAAATAGCTAATTTATATGATAATATAATAATATAATTGATGTTCAGCTTCAAGCTGTCATGTGGCAATATAATTGGCGTTCAGCTTTAAGCTGTCAAGATTGGATAACTCGGGAATTTCATTCTTCATCTGTACTATATTGTTACCATTTACTGATAATAAAATGTACAGGAAAATGTAGATAAGTTCTTCTTTGTTTTTAGTTGTTTTTAGTCAATATCTCAACCATTTTTTCTCTTTCTTTGCTGGCTAGTTCAGAATTTTTTTCAACTTATCTATTTTTCAAATAATACTAAGTATTTTGTTTTCAAAATTAAGTGAAAAGTTTTAATTATTTATGCATAGCTTACATTATAATTAATGAAAAGATGCAAATTATTGGTTATTTATCCAACAAAAAACATAAAGGAAAACTGTGATAAAAAAGGAAAGAATTAAAAGTAAAATTGGGAAGAATTAATTAAAATAGGAAATGTAAGCATTTATGATTCTTAATATTTTTATTCTATGCATTTTCATATTCGTCAACTGTTGAAAATCTTCTTTAAACATAAGCCTATATCCGGTGTATGATAAATACTTCCATATTGTGAGGTGTGTGTGTGTGTGTGTTGTTAAGTTTTTGCAATGTTCTTGTACTTGTACTGTATCACTTTCTTTATCAGTGTGAAGCATTACTTTTCATGCTTGTTTTTTCCTTCCCTTCTGTTATTTTAAGCCAAAAATTTCATCTCATCTCATCTCAATGATGGATGAGCTGTCGCATATATAGCATTATTTTAATCAAAATTACTGTTATCTGCTTGATATCATTGAATAACTGCAAGTTATATAAATAAATGTGAAGAAGAATTCTGTTTATATAACTATTCCTAATAAATATGTGCACTAAAATGAATTGTATTAGACATAATACATTTGTTATTTTGCTAAATTTCAAATCCTTAAAATATATCAAATCATTTTGAATTATTATGTTGTAGTAATGAATCATGAAAAATTATCAAAGAAATAATTCTTGAGATCTTAGCTAAGTTCATTGATTAGAAATTAATTTAACAAATAATTGGGTAATTTGTTAAAATTTCATTTATACTTGACATTCAACACTCTTTCTTCATCCTTAATTTATGCAAATAAAACATATTTTATATTCTTTGGATTTTATTATGTTGAAATCATTTGCGCGTAAGATTTACTGTACTCTCTACATTATTTCACTTGAGATCGGACAAATTATGAAGTCAAATGAGTCATAGTATTATTTGAATTACGTGCACGTGTATCACGTGTTTTACGTTGAAATGAGATGAAGTTGCTTGAAAAAGGTTGGAAATTGGCTGAATATTTTTGTCGAAGTAAACATAGAAATTTGGAATAATCATGGAACAAATTCTCATTTTTAATTGTTTACTAGCATGAGTTGATTGGACGTGATAATTTGAAATTATCACAAATTCGTAATATGACGGAAATTCTTTCATTTACAAACCTGAAAACTTCCAAATGGATATGATGAAGCTGAAATGAATGACTGAGTTCTGGTATGTGTTGGATTACGGTATCCGCCTTAGGATACGGTATCTAGGGAGGGAAACGTAAAAGGTACTGAGGATTCTTTATTATTTCGTTGGATACAAATGAATGTGGCAAGCTTTCGAAGTTACTTTTAAGTGCTTTATGGTCATGATGCTTTGTTGATAGTTTGAGTGATACGTACAATTATCAACCTGAGATTATCACGCTCCCAGCTTTCCTCATTTGCATCAAACTTATTTCTGTTACATACTGCATCAATTTCATTGGTGTGATGACTGTGTGTCGCTTGTAAGGTTGTCGAAAAAATTCAACAGAATGAAAATTTGTTTTTCTTCTGTTGTTTTCTTAGTAACTTGAAGAATTAAATTTTTCAAAAAAAAAAAATCAGTTACTTTTTAATGTCCTGACTTTGTCATGTAATATTATGCCAAACAGTGAAATTCATTAATTATCAGAAATTTATACAATACATGATTACAATTAGAAAAAATAAGATAAGGTGATCCGATCCAGTTCTATGCTTCTAATTGCATAAGTATCTTATGAATAGCTAATGTACATCATTTGTTTTTCAAACTGATCTAATTTTAAAATAATGACTGATAACATTATAAATGTTCACTTGTTTTGTTCGAATTATTGTTGGTCTAAATGGTAGTAAGTAAAATTAAGTAATTGATGGTCAAATTCTGGCAGTTATCAAACATTTCGAGACATCGCAATAATTTTAAAAGTGAAATGCAGGAGATATTTATTGATAACTTAATAAATTCTATCTGCAACAGATAATTTATAACAACTATATGCTAACCTTTGACATATGAAATTGAATTGCTTGCAATATGTGAATTATCATATTATATCCGGTATGCTGTTACCATTACATTCCTGCCTACTGTCTGACAATTACAACAATTACACTTACCGTTCTTTCGATTATCAACGAAACCATTATTATTAAAAATTAAATCTCTGTAAATTTCAATATAAATATAGAAGCTGAGAAGAAAAGAAGTCTCCCCATATATTTCTTTCACAATTCACTAAAATATTAAAATAGCATGTTCGCTGCTTAATTCGACAGATTTGATTGATCCATGTTTGTGTTCGCTATCGCTTGAATTAAATGAGAAAGAAAAAAAAGTAAATTTCAAATTCGTTTTTGTAGATTCATTAATTATTATAGATTAAATGATAAACTGAAACAGCCATTAATCATTCTTCATATCAATACTATGATAAACTTATTTAAGTTTATCATAAAAACGTGAATATTTTCAGAGATAGCACAGATCTCTGGAATTCTGAGAAATTGATATTATTTAATTTTCCATTCGTTGAAAGCTATACTTTTTTAGCGAATGCAATATTTCGAATTTCAGAATAAATGAGAAGTTAAAAATTTACAATTACAACTTCGATGCAACTATAACATACCTCCCTAAAATCATTGGAGCTGTATTTGAAAGCACGGTTTTTGCTAATTTTAAAATGATGACTTTCCGTTTCAGAATTTATATTTAATTTTAATAAAATTCAATTTATCATCGAGGAATATTTAAAATAAAAAATTCATTAATTATAAAATTTTCATAATTTGTTATGATCCGAAACAACTTCAATGTTTAACTTACATCTAAAATTTTAAACGTTACATTTGCTAATGCAATTCATTGGTCAGTAATATTTTGTTGACCAATGAATTGACCTAACATAATAATTAAATTACCAAATCTTTGGCAGTAAAATTATTTCAAACCCAATAAATCTATCGCATAAAAATCCTTTAGGAAGGTATCAATTTATAACAAATTGCCCAAATCTGAAAATTTAAGATGAAAAATGAATTTTAAACAACTTCATAATTAATTACCTTAAAATATTTGCAATCTAATTCGAACAATAAATATTTAGTAGAAGCTGGCAATAACAAAACTTTCTTAAAGCTATAACAAATAGTTTTATTGCTCTTTGCATTCATTTAAATTCATGCATAACGGAATAATTCATAAACAATTTTTTGAAAATTCTTACACATTTAATGAATGGAAATTTTTATGTCTATCCAGAAAATTCTCCGGAAATTCCGTGATAATGATTTGAGTATTCCTGAAAAGTTATGTTTTCCTTTTTCTCACTTATTCTATTACTGTTTATTTGAAGAGAGTATAGAACTCATTTCAGATTGCTATCCAATAGAAATTTCAGGTGGAAATTTTGCATTAGGAAAAAGGAATTTGACTGTCACTATGATTATAATAACTGCCCATAATCTGATAATTTAATTATTCGGATGAAAAATGAATTCACAATGACTTTTTTGTTTTCCTCTATAACTTCCTGTAATCTGTTACCATCCCAAATAGCTTCAGTATCGTTTAACTTATAATTTAAAATTAATACGATAATGGATTATTTTTATAAAATTCCTATTTCTATTTCGAAATTTTCAGATTTTTAACCTTTGACATTGTTGTGAAAAATTTTGAAAAAAACCTAAAATTCAATAAATGAGTAGAAAAATAGAAGGTATTTCTCTTTGAACAAACTTAGAAACAGTGCAATATCGCGATAGTTACAATAATAAAAAAATTATTCTGATGATTCCGATGATATCGCGCAATAGTTATAATAAAAAAATGATTTTCATTTCTTCGATTTTGTTGTTAGACGCAATCGTTGTATGAATTCCATTGATATGCCATCTGAGATGAAATGAAACTAATGAATGGTGGAATCAAATAAAGTGATAAGTTTGAGTAAAAACATGCAAGTTGGCACCAGAAAAATGAGCCAAGAAATTTTGATAATAATCTAGCCAATGGCGGGTAAGGAACAATTTTTGTTAATTTAATAGACTACTTATTGGCTAATAATATGATTAATTATTATTTGTCACTATGCTAACAGTCTTAAACATAAAAAGCGGAATTATTCGGAAATTCTTTGTGATATAAGCGCATGTTGTTAATTTAACCAAATATTTGGCCTTGATCGATCGAATATACCTATTGTTATTCATATTGCTCTGAATAGCCTATTAGGTTGCAATAAAGCAACAACTCAATGAGTTGAAAAGTTCAAAATGAAACTTCTTTATTTTTATCTTTTCCGCCATTCATTTACAATATATTCCAAATTCAATCGAATCAAATTAAAATTGAAGCATTGCCAAATACCTGTACGTCAAGATAAATATCACATAGGAACAAAATTTGTTTCACATACATTAATTAGAAATTATTTTTGCT